GCGCGGGTCGCAGTTTTCTCATGGAGCGCCAGCGAGGCCGATCCGGGCTGTCCTTTTCCTCCCGCACTTAGTCTAAGAGGAAGAAAGCAAACAAGACAGAGGAGGGAAGCCCCCTCACTCGCGCGCGCCGGGGGGAGATGTCAGGCGCTGCTCCACCTTCCAAACAGTCACCGATCAAACAGTGTCACCCGGCCGGCCGGAGCGCCACTTGGTGCCACTTGGCTTTGCCGCCAGGATCGCCGCTTCTTCCAAGGCGAAATCTAATACAAACACATTTTGATCATGGATTTTTTTTTTTTTTTTGGCCGGTCTTGATCTTCCAACAGAAAAAAAAAAATGAAAAATACACAAAAGCCCCCCACTCAAAAAAAAAAAAAAAAAGGCAACAACAACCCAGAGAGTGCGTGCAAAGGGGCGCAGAGCCGTCGTTCACTGGGTGGGCGAGATGAGCGTGGACGGTTCCCCCCCCTCCCCAAACTCCTGGGAGAGAGAGGGAGATGCACTCTCGCTCTCTCCTCTTTTCAGTGAAATATAACACACATTCCGATCGCAGAGCTTTCAGACAGTCTCAACTGATAGACAGACACATCGAGCTGCTTTTCCTGCTTCAGTTTTTACTCCTCCTCCTCTCGCCAACGTCACCCTGACAATTACAAATAGGTCTCTCACAAACCATACCTGTCAATCTTTTTAATTGCTTTGTGTTGTGTGTTTTTTTTTTTCTTTTTTCTTTCTGGAGCTAAACAATATGACACCGAAAAAGAAATCTTAATACAGCACAACATAAAAGATTGTAGTTTTGGAGAAAGACATTGAGGGGTGTGTTATTGTAATCCACTGGCTGATACTGGGTAAAACCATGTGTTCTAAAGCCAAGTTCAGTAGACACTGGCAGATTTTTTTTAAACCTGTTAATACCCCTCCCCCCGCCCTTGTACATTCATACCACGTACCCATGTAGGCATAAACTACCCTTGGATGAAGAATTGTCCTACATTTAAGATAAAAATACCTGTGTCACCTTTGCAGTCTTAGTTTGGGGGTTAAATTTGATTGGGGGTTGGGTGGCTTTTACGTTTTAGTAATTCATGGGTTAAAGTGGAAAGCAAGGGTTGTTGGTGTTTGTTTTTTTTTTTTAATTGAAAGGTATTCCTTTAATAAAAAATTCAAGCTGGACTTAGCTCATCTCACGAAAACGTGGAAAATATTTAATTTGGTCCCTCTATGAAAAGTGAATTGATTATTTGGTCAATACAGACAATTAGGGAGAAAATTGACACACTTGCAACTGCAAGCTCTCTCTAGCTGGGTTATAAAAGGAGGTCTTCATACATCACTGCAACGTCTCCAATTCAATTAAGTCCTTCAGCATCCCCACCTAGAAGTTGAAAATGTTTATGTGCTCTAGGAATTTGGCCCTCTGGTTTCCAATATGTGTGTTCTCTCCCAGTGGATAACCCTGTATCTGTCTTGTAGAGAGGCTACTTTTAAAAAGTCATGGGGGAAGAAAAAAAAAAAAAAAAACACGAAATCTAGGCCAAAATAAGTGAAATGCCTTAGTTCCTACAACTTGTATGGAGCAAACTGAGGGGCAGAGATGCGAGCAAGGCATTTAGGGGGACAGCGGACCAGGAGCCTGGGGCTCCCAGGGAGGCACTGAGCAGCCCCTCCCCGCGCCCAGGTCAGTGCTTGAATGCGCTCACCCACAGCCAGGGATCCCCACGCGGCCCGGGGACCCGGCCGTGCCCCGGCCGCGCTCGGGGTTGATTCGTACCACCTTGCAAGGAAGTGAACGCTTCGCACGGGAAGGGGAGGCGCCTGTGCCGGCCACCGCCACCGGCCGGCGCGCCTCCGCGAATGCCCGGCGCTGCCGCCGGCTCCGGGCCGCGGGGGACGTGGGACACACGGGACCCCTGTGCGCCCCCCTCGCCCTTTGGAGCAGTCAAATCCGGCTTTTAGAGCGCGGGGAGGGTGGGGATATCCGGTGCCTCCCCGGCGGCGCCGGAGGAAGGGGGAGGGCGGAGAGGCTTCCCGGCCAGTCCGCGCCGATCAGATTCAAACCAAAACAAAAAGATTAAAGGAGCAGCTACCGGGACGGCTGCGATCCTGCGGGCCAGGACCCCGGGGGTGGCGCGTCCGTCCGGGAACTCCGGGGGCCGCGAGCACTCCGGGAGCCGCGCGCCCGAGGGGGAGCGGGCGCCGAGCGTGGAGGGGAAGGGGGGGAGCCGAGGGGAGGGCGAGGGCCGGAGGAGGGGCGGACCCGCCGGCTCCGCCCGCGCCCAGCCGAACCCAGCCGCCCGGGCTGGTCGCGACCTTGGCCTGCAAAGCGGCTCAGAAAGCGGGCGGCGGCGGCGGCGGCGCGGACTATGCTGCGGCGGCGGGTGCTCGCCGCGGCCCGCACGATCGTGGACATGTCGTACTCCCGCCACTTCCTGGACTTCCAGGGCTCCGCCATCCCACACGCCATGCAGAAGCTGGTGGTGACTCGGCTGAGCCCCAACTTCCGCGAGGCCGTCGCCCTGCGCCGGGACTGCCCGGTGCCGCTCCCCGGGGACGGAGACCTCCTCGTCCGAAACCGGTGAGCCCGGCGCGCGCCCCGGCCCCGGCCCCGCCTCCTCCGGGCCGCCGGGGTCGCCGGCGCCCCCGCACCCCGCCCGGCGCGCTCGGGCGCACAGCCCGACTTGGCGAGGTTCTGGGAAGTTGAACCCGCCGCCATCTGGCGAAGGGGAGTGCAATGTGACTGTTGCTGTTGTGAATATCCGATGCCACCACCGAACGTCCTCATAACGGGGGTTATTTTGATTTGGGATTCCCCTCCCCTCCTCCCCTCCCGTATCCCCTCCTCCCTCCTCCCGCTCCCGAAATAAAACCGAGGGGACCCAGAAGCCGAGGCTTCCCGCCCGGCCCATCCACCGGCGCGCACCCGGGGCTCCGGCGTTCACACAGTCTCTGGGGCGGAGCGGGAGCCGCCTGGACCCGAGCTGCGACCTTTGGGTAACGTGCTTGGAAGGAAGGAGACCGCCGGGGACCAGGCTGGCGTTCCTGCCCGTGCCAGGTTGGCAGTAGCCTCGCCTCGCCATGGCAGAGCCTGTGTTTGAGTGTGTGTTGGTGTGCACCTCGCTGGGGTCGTCCGCGTGTTGTCAGTGGTGTGTGACTGTGGTCCGTGCCCCGGAGGGTAACGACCGGGCGTGCGGCGCGTGTGCGGGGCGTCTGGGACGGGGGCCTTGGCTGCATGTGCCCGCACGTTCTGCAGAGATCTTCTGGGGTACTGGGGTTCTTAGCTGACCCTCTGTCTTTTCCTCCCCTACATGCCTCACCTTAAGGTGTTTCTGCCTCACTAATCTGTGGTCACTGGTGAGGCAGCAGGAAGGAATGGGATCTTGCTCCTGGAGCCAGGCCCTCCTCGGGGTCTCTCTCTCCGGGTGGGTCCACTCCCCGCGGGGTTGCAGGCGGGGCGCCCGGTGCCTGGTTCCTCCATCCTCCCCTTCGCCAGAGCAGGACTCCTCTGCCTGCCCAGGCAGTCCGAGGATTACAGGATTGCATGGATCAGGTTGAGTAATACTCGCAAGGGAGGAGAAAGTTCGGTGTTGTAAATTGCGCGCTGGGAAGTGCTCTCAGCCCCCTGCAAGGAGTAGCTTGATGCAACCTTTAATGAGTCCATTTTTTGGAGATTCAGATCAGCCTTCCACATAATACTGTGAGACTAAAGAATTCTGATCTCAATATAAAACTTTTGGGAACGTGTTGGGAATGTAAAAATTGAGTGAACCAAGGGTGGGATTGAGTAGAGGTGGGATGTGTGTGTTCTTTAAAAAGTTTGCTAAGGTGGAAACAGAGCTTCCGAGGATTTCTTCATTATGGGATGCAGTGCTGGGGCTGTTCAGGACATGGGTCCAGCCAAGATTAAAAGGAGGGCTTGTGTGTGTTCAGAAATACAAAACACGCGAGTAACTTGCTAGAAGCAAAGTCGAGCCCCAGGCTGAAAAGCTCCAAACAGACTTGAGCAGGCAAAAAGTTTCACACAGGCTTTTGTTTCCTCTTCCTGGTGAAGTACACTATTGATTGATCAGTGATGTAAACACACACAGCTGCTGGAGTAAAACGCCTTTTAGAAAGTGGGTATGGGATGGGGAGGAGGCCACTGAGCCTGGCAGTGGTGGGGGGAGGGGAGTGGTTAGAGCACTACTGACCGCATGGAGGTTGGGACCACCCTCCAGCGCCTTGGGTGGAGGTTACTCCAACGAGGCTTTGGTGCTTTCCTGGCCTCTCCCCCAAGAGTGTATATCAACTCCTAGGATGCCCCCCCTCCTGAGACTTCTCTCCCTTCACACTCACAGTCCCCCCTCACTGTCCCCTTCCCCACTGGGTGTCTCTGCTCCCCTGGCGCTGCATCACCAGCTTGAGTCTTGGACTCCAGGTCAGTGCTCTGGACCACCGGGCCCTCACGTTTGGAGCTCATCAGTTTGGGTTGCTGTAAGATTCATACCTTTTCCCCGCCACCTATGCCAAAAATCTCTTTAATATAAATAGTATATTGATATATACAAACTTGACCTCTGACTTCTACCTTGAAGCCTAGGACAGAAAGAAAACGGAACCAGTTTTCTGCGTGTTAGGAGGGGGCAGAACCTCTGCCGCCCCTCTCCCCTACTCTGCTGGCCAACCTGCCCCTGTCCCCCAATTGTAGGAAGATCCTTTATTCTTGCAGGCAAGGTCAGCGGAGGTGGCATTTTACGGACTCTCTCCCTCTCTCTCTTTAAGAATAGAGGCTTAATAATTCACTGAAGGTTAGTTCATCTTAATTCTAGGCCAACTCTCCCCAGAACACTGCTAATTACATGAAAATTTTATGCATATGCTTCTCCTTTTTATTATGATAAAATTGCTCTGGAATTGAATAGATTAATCCCAAATTTACTTATTTGGAAAGGTGTGTAGAAATCTGACTTTTTCTTTCACTTGAACCATTTACACATCTCAACAGAAAATACAGATATTTTTTTCTTTGCAGAGAGGGAAGTGCTTTTAAGCTCCACAGCCATTAGAATAGTCAAGTTCACCATTTAGGGAAGGTGTGAGAAGGGTACATAAACTCCCCAGAGACCTACAATTGATGCTCCTTTCTATAGTTCTCACCTTCCTGTTCCCTACCTCCCAGGACAACTTCAGTGTCCTCTCCTTTACAGGATCTCAGAAAAGAAAAAGAAAGCGAGCAAGACACCCTCCGGTGAAGTCAGTTTGAGCGCTATTTTTAGCATTTTTAGTACCATAATGACACAGTATTTCGTTTCTAAATATTTCTAACGATTTTTCTGCTCCTGTGTAAGATAATGGGGCTGAGAGTTTGCGGGGAGGGAAAAGAGGGAGGAGGGGATGGGGAAGGCGTTTTTATGATAAAGGGTTTGTTGCTCACCGGAGGGGAACAGTAGTGTTTCTTCCGATTCTCCAGGCCAAATTGTTTTTTTCCTGTTTTTCTTTCTTTTTCCTTATTTATCTTTAAAGTAAGGATCTGGTTTGGACGACTTTGTCTCCCGGTATTGAAGGCATTGGCTTCGGACTAGAATCTTCGCCTTGGGTTTTGTTCAGAGAAAGCGCCCCCCCTCCACCGTCCCCCCTCCCCCCAGGACTGCCCTGTTTCACAATAAACATGACAGAGGGGCTCAGCACTTTTTAATATAAATAAACGGGTGACTCTAGAAGGGTCTATATTAGGGGAGAGCCCGCCTCGTCCTGAGGTTTCTCCACATTAATCTTTTGAGTGGATCCTGCCATCGGATCGCTGGAACCCTCCTTAAAAGCACATATTTTAAATTAAAGGGGCACAAGGGGAGCCTCCCAGCGCGGGCTTCCTTCCCAGTGGTCTTTCCCCAATCGCTCCCCCTTCCTATGTCCTGCTTACTCGGACCTGAGCCCCCCTGTTCCATGGTGCAGCTGCTCTTGAACTTGTTTCTGGTGAAGTGGAGCTCAAGGGCTCCGGACCCCCCAGACAGCCATTTCCAAAGCCCAGGTAAGGACCTAGGCGCATCTGGGCCCTGGCAGCTCCCTAACACCCTGGGGAGTGGGGGGCTCGCAGAGTCAAAACAGGGGTCTGGGGGAGGCGGGGGCCATGCCAGAGGCCGGGAGACACTGGAGAGGGCGAGGTTTAGGGAATCTAGATTCACCACCAGCCCTAGATCCCTTCACCACTATGCAGGGCGGTTGGAGGAGGGGATTATGAAATATGGGGGTGTCTAGGAAGCCAAGGTCATGGTCCAGCCTCTAGCCGGGGTCTCCGTCCACCGGCTTTGCGCCTAGCCATGCAGGGTGCTCAGGGCTACCCCAGACCTTGTCCTGCCCTGGGCGGGAGCTCCATGGTGTGCGCATCACAGGACCCCTGCCTCGCCCGGGAGGCCGAGGTCCCAGTGTGGACCTGGGCCAGTCCCCTCACCCAGTGCTGGCAGCACTGCCCCAGCCCGCGCCTGGAGTGGGGGGCATTGGTCCTGCCTCTAGTTGATGGCGGTGGAGAAGCCACTCGGGTCCAGAGGGTCGGCAGTCAGAAGCGGCCCTCAACTCCCAGGGAGGCTGTGGGGAAGCAGTGACTGCTGGCGCCCAGCAGGCACACCCAGGCGCACCAGGGGGCCTCCGGGGAGACGGAGAGCAGGGGCCACCTGGACGGGGCATGTGGGAGCCTGCGGGTGTCCGGTCCCTGCTCCGGGGCGTGCTGGGCTCCACCGCAACATCTGACTTGATGTTTTAGGCAAAACCCCCATGGAAAACTCAAGCTTCTGCTGATCGAATGCAGCCACCCCAGCTCCCAGCAGCGCCCCACTGCCCCCTCCCCCCACGGCCGCCACCAAGCACACACTTGGCCCTCTGTCCCCTGTGGGGTGTGTGTTCTCTCTCTCTCTCTCTCTCTCTCTCTCTCTCTCTCTCTCTCTCTCTCTCTCTCTCTCTCCTGCGTTCCTCCTGATATGTGCGCTGTTGGGTTTCCCACCTCTCCTCTTGGAAGCCGTAAACCACAGCCTGGGGAGGAGGCGAGCTGGGGCTGAGTCCTCCCCCAGCACAGCTTTTCCGCTCATGGGTCCTAAGTGGGGTGCGGGGAGGGCCCCGAGGGGCTGGCCAGCACCGTGGAGTTTCCCCGGAGTCCTAGGCGGGGTCTCCCCACACAAGAAAGGCGCCTCTTCAGAGGGCCCGGACCTGAGGGGGCTGGGAAGGGTTAATGGTGGACTCCCCACTTCCCAAGCAAACCTCACTTCACTTTCACCGCGGGAAGCCCTCCTGGAGGGAGTTTGCCTCTCAGCCCAGGCTGGGTCTCCGAGAGGCGCTGCAGCTGGGCTGGGCCCTGGCTTCCCCAGAGCAGAGCCAACAGGCAGCTGGCTCTGCTCTGGGGAAGCTGGCCCTCTTTACAAAGACAGGGCCTTGAGAACTGAGTAAATTTCAAGGAGAGAGAGAGCGAGCAGCCTCCCCCCCTCTTCCTCAAATAGAATACAAGCATCTTGGCATTAAATGCCAAATAATGCCAAATGGGAAACCTGCAAAAACCATTTCCCCATTTCTCATGACTGCATATCCTTTATGGGCATGGAATGCTGTGGCTTTTAGAATTCAGGGAGGCTGTGTGATGTGCTCACTTCGGGAAAGCTGCCTGATGAGCTAGAAAGAAATGGTTTCCTGCTTCCTTCTTTCTACAATATGCAGAGAGCTTTCCGTGTTGCAGACACACAAGGCAGAAGAAGCATCAGGGAGCGTTTTTAAGGGCAAAGTACCACCGATAGACCTATGGAAGTGGGTCCTGGTACAGAGCAGTTGCTATTAAGTTAAATTAAAAGTGAATTATTTTAAAATGACCTACTTCCCAGCTTTGCTCCTGCCCCCAGATAACACCATCCTTTCACTTCATTACAGGTGGAAATGACATTTTTAGGGGCCTCCATTATGTGTCTAAGCCACCTCCTGACATTCTTAGTTGACGACTTATGTTTTGTGGGGTTTTTTTCCCCCTTTATGGATCAGGATATTTCTGTTATGAGGTATACCGAGATGAAAAAAAAAAAAAAAAAAAAGCTGGTAAAAGTACTGGCCTTGCAATTAAATTGACTCTGGATACCAAAGTGAAACTAATCATCTGGTATTAATCAACTTATGTCTCTGCTTCTTGTTGAGGGAAAATAGAGTGACGATATGCTTTCCTTTTCATCTGAAAAGGACTGTAAAATGTTGAATGCTCCATAAAATCTCTCTCCCCTTATGAGACAATTTTTGTTCAATTAATCAAAGTGCATATTTTCACACTGGACATCGTGACATCAGAGAGAACATTTGCTGCAGCCACTCTAGCGATGTTTTGAAACAGCCCCTGCAGTAATGACCTTGCACATTCCATCAATCTTTAATAATATCATTGTCATTACTATTATTATCTGAAGTGTTAAATTGTGGCCAAAATCAATACGAGTGTACTTGGTCGAATATATTTTATCCCACTGTTGTTTTTAACATCTTTGTTAAGAGGCCAATTAATTTCCAACTCAGCTCCAGTGCAGTTTGTGGATAAGAAGGCTTCCCGACATATTCAGGGTGGTTTTTTTGTTTTTGTTTTTGTTTTGGATTTATTTCTCCTTTTGAAAGGAAGAAGAGGGAAACAACTGGAATAGGAAATAAATAACTTGATGTTTTAAAGTGATTGAAATTATTTCTAAACTGATGACAGCAAAACTGGTTGCAAATCACTATTGAACTAAATACTCATTTAATTTCTTTTCCTCCTCTGAATATCAGGACTGTGTTTTTTTTGTTGTTGTTGTTGTTTTGGGGGGTTTTTTTTGTTTTGTTTGTGTGTGTGTGTGTGTGTGTGTGTGTGTGTGTGTGTTTCATATTCTATCAGAATGTATGGCTTAGCCAGCCCCCCACAATCACCAAATTAGAGGGCACCTGATATCACACATGAACATAACCAGTCGAGTGCCTTCTCTTCTGACTCCCGCCTGGAGCTGATCTGCCCGACTGCTAACCTTCAGCTCACCAAGCAGTGGACCATAAAGGCCTTGAGAACAAAGCACCTTAATATATTTTTGTGATGTTTGTGTTTTCTTCTAGATTTGTCGGTGTTAATGCGTCTGATATCAACTACTCAGCGGGACGATACGACCCCTCCGTCAAGCCTCCTTTTGATGCGGGCTTCGAAGGTGTGGGCGAGGTGGTAGCCTTGGGCCTGTCCGCCAGTGCCAGGTACACGGTCGGCCAGACTGTGGCTTACATGTCAGCGGGCTCTTTTGCCGAATACACAGTGGTGCCAGCCAGCATTGCCATCCCAGTGCCCTCTGCCACACCCGAGTACCTCACGCTGCTGGTGAGCGGCACCACCGCACACATCTGCCTGAAAGAGCTCGGCGGGCTGAAGGAAGGGAAAAAAGTGCTGGTGACGGCAGCGGCCGGGGGGACAGGCCAGTTTGCCGTGCAGCTTGCCAAGAAGGCCGGGTGCCACGTCATCGGGACCTGCTCTTCCAAAGAGAAGGCTGCTTTCCTGAAGTCTGTGGGCTGCGATCGCCCCATCAACTATAAAACGGAGGATGTGGGTACCGTCCTGAAGCGGGAGTATCCCGGAGGCGTGGATGTGGTCTACGAATCCGTGGGGGGCGCCATGTTTGACTTGGCAGTAGATGCCTTGGCCACCAAAGGGCGCCTGATAGTCATTGGGTTTATCTCTGGCTACCAAACCCCTACTGGCCTTTCCCCTGTGAAAGCAGGAACGTTACCCGCCAAACTGCTGAAGAAGTCTGCCCGCATCCAGGGTTTCTTCCTAAACCATTACCTTTCCGAGTACAGAGCATCCATGGACCACCTGGTCAAGATGTGTACCAGTGGAGACCTCGTGTGCCAGGTGGACCTGGGCGACCTGTCCACGGAGGGCAGGTTCACGGGCCTGGAGTCCGTGTTCCGCGCTGTCGATTACATGTACCTGGGGAAAAACACGGGGAAGATTGTAGTTGAATTACCTCACCCTGTCAACAGCAAGCTGTAAAAGCCAAACAATGGCATAAATCAGGGGAGAAAGAAAGTGGGTACTTGATGCTTCAGAATCACTCAAATCAGTTTATTTTCGGTCATTAATGGAGATAATATTTCTTAAAACGAAAGTAAGGTGTTACAACAGGTTTCTCCTTTTCTTCCTTTTTTTCCCTCTTTTTACCCCTCTCTTGGAAAAAAAAAAAAAAAAAAGTGCTAATAAAACTTCCCTCCCAGGCTCAGAGGTAAAACCTTTACATTCAACCCTTTGGTCATGGACAGTCTCATTCCAGATTTTATTGTTCCTGGGAACTAAATTAATTCCTGATGGGAGAGCTGATCAAATCAGTATGTCTTCAGCTTGATGAGATTTTAAAATTGGTCTTAAAAATAGTTCACAAATTCTTTGCTTTGGGAGAGTTTAGTCTTGGGCTAACGAGTAGTTAATAAAGGAGAGACACCACAAAAAACCAGCCCCATTTCCGAGTGCACATTCTGAGGAAAGGGCCCTTCGTAGCCGATAAATCACCAGCCAACTATCCATACAGACATTTGGAGGGATTCTTCCAAAACTTTGATTTGAATAGATTATTAGCAAAAATGATTATGTGAACACAGACCTATCTAAAAGACGTCAGTTGCAGTGGAGGCTTTTGGTGCCTGCGAGGCACATGTGGAATGGAAAATTTCACTCTTCCCTTAGGAAGCAAATCAGTGCTGAAAACTTACACAGACAAAAAGCAAGGTCGGGAGAGGGGACGACAGATCCAGGGGCTTTGAGAACTTAATACGTTCCCAGGAGAAGTGTGAGTCCCATCCACAATGAGGTCCACCTAGCAGAGCGTGGGCCACGCAAGGGCAGACCACACCGGGCACACCACAGGAGGGTCTTTGCGGACGCCGGGGCAGGACAGAGCAAACCCAAATCTACAGTAATAACACGCCGGCTCTGTGTCAGGCTGTCTGGCACGGAAGGTGTGCTTCTTTCCGATCATGGGAACAATAGCAGCCCCTGCAGCTAGGTTTCCATTTCACTTCTCCCAGGTCCTGATGGAGTGAGGCTCCTCTTGTCCCGGGCACCTGATTATCACACTTAAATGTAACCAGTCCTGTTCCTTCTCCTCTTGTGAATCCTGCCTGGTGCTGATCCGCCTGCCTGCTAACCTTCAGCTCACCAAAGGCGGCTGCAGCCTTCCCTGGGAACTGGGAAATCCCAGGGCGCCTCTCTGATCGGAGGCAGCGCCCGCCAGATGCTTTCACAGCCCGGGGTTTCCGCCTCTCTCACATGCTAAATACATAGGAAGACAATTAAAAAGGTCCAGGAAACTTGGGTGACAGTATTTAATTTTTCTCGCTCCCGTCTGAGGAGCCAGGGAATGCTGCCGCCCCGTAGCTGTCCATATCTGTTTTACAAGATTTACTCATTTTCAGGTACCTAATGTCGCTGCTAGCATGCATGCACAACAATACAATTTATATGGTAAATGGGACCAAATCACGGCTTCACTGAATGTTATGGCTGCACTGAAGGGAAATGTCACGGTAAATAGCTGCCAAATTATGGATCATGCCGAAGTGTCACAACTGCACTAAAGACAAATGGCACTGGAGGCTATTGCCACCGCGGGCCCGTGAGTTATGAGGGAGGGTGGCGGCCTGATGCGAGGCTCTTTGTGTCCTCATTATAGCAGAGGGTTACCGGTGCCGGGGACGAGGGAAGCCGGCCCGGTGCGGGGCTCGGTTATTAATCTGTCCCTTTCAGTCCCAGCGGCGGTGGCAGAGCAGAGAGGGACTCCGCCTGGCTTCCAGACGCACAAACGCACAAGGGAAGGGGACAGGTTTCAGGAGCGTCACCACCGGAAATGGCCGGTCATGGAAAATCGTGTCCCTCACATCGTCTCGTCAGAGAATATTGTTACATTGAACGCAGCCTGTGTGCGTCTGCGGGATCGGGTGCTCCTTATGCAGGTAGACGCGTGACGTGTGACAAGTAAGCAGAAACGCACGGCTCCCTCCGTGGAGATCTGATGGGGGAAGGACATCGCCAGCTAAATTGCTTCTTCCAAACTGAAGTGTGTCCCGGTTTCTTTCATTTTAATGGGAGGGTAATAAAGATGAAAGACCAACCTTTTCTTTCTTTCTTTTTTTTTTTTTTTTTTTTTTTTTTTTTTTTTTTTTTTTTTTACTGATGGACCCCTTAAGCTACAGCATAGAAATTTATTGTGTTTTGAAGGGATACACTACATTTAGCTATGTTAAAAAAAAAAAAAAGTATATTTTTTTCAAACGCCCAGGTTTGAAATAAAATCTAATCTGAAACCCTCATGTTTTTCTCTCTCCTCAAACTAAGGAACCACAGCACACAGGCTGTTTGCATTTAATCTCAGGAAACAAGCATGAAAGATTCCGCCCATTCAGATAATGCCAAAAAGATGTTTAAACTTTTTTTTTTTTTTTTTTTTTTTTTTTATTCTCCTGAAAAATGATTTGTAAATTGAGGGTCAGAGTTCAGCGCCAGTTTCATCTTCTGGTATTATCATTCAAGACCAGCCTCTAACGGGAGGCGAAGTGGTGCGAAGCTCTCAACACCTTTCTTCTGAACTGCATTACATATCGCAAAAGTACATCCATAATTCAGGGCAATTGTCAGTCTTTGTTTTAGAGACGGGGCTGGGGCCGGGCGACGGCGCTGGATGAATTATTCCTCGGTTCTCAGGGTGGCCTCTCTGCACATCAGCCCCGAGGCCTGGGGCTGGGCAGATGGAGGAGTTGCCTCTGGTTCGTGCACAGAGAGGAGGGATTCTCCTCCCTCACCATTCCCTCCCTTTCACATTTGTTTAGCACACAAACACCAGGAACGGTGTCATTCCGATCCCTTTGATGACTGCTTTTCTGCCGTTGACGGATCTCAACATTTAGAAAGAATCGGAATAGTTTACAAAACAACACGAGTTTTGCGTGGCTTGTTCCGTAAATTGTTATTCTATGATTGCATCTGAATGGGGTTTTCTCAGGATCAGGAACCGAGTTCTGTAAGTGGAATTGCGTTCAGTATTTATCTAATGAAAGTACGGCGACAAGTAGCTGCTTGTGATTAAAATGAAAATCCCGCGTTATGTACTTAAGGAACATTCCTGCTAATGAGGATGTAATGTCCTCACACAACACAGCCCTTCATTCCGTGTTCACGGCCACAAGATGCTGGAAACTTGACAGATGATGTCATTTAAGACACATGCCTGCCGTGGGGACCTGCTTTTTAGCTTCCTGTTTCTGGCTTTTATTGGTTAACGTTTCTAATGGCCACCTGACTGGTAGTGGGGTAATGTTTTAACCCCTTTGTAGAATTCCCAATTAGTCCAAATTTACTACGTTTGGGGCCTTCAGAACGGGGCAGGGAGTGTCAGTACAGAGAATATTTTTTTTGATCACTTTACCACAAGGACATATGGGATAAATACCATCTCTGAGATTTATATAAAAACAGATGAGCACTGTGCAACTTCCAGAAAATATATGATACAAAAAGAGCAAACACAATCAACAGTGGGAGATCATTTCCTCCGGGTTCCAATACAAGTTTTATGAATGTGACCCAGATGCGAAATGGCCTGATTTGATGGACTTGTAATTACTATTCCCTATACTTTCCACTCTCTTGTTTTATTAAATAACGTTTGTTATTTATGGTACTTATTTAAAGACACAAAATTTATCTATGAAAACATTGTTAGTTAATTTCTGGGACTTTTAGAACATTGTGGGTGTTGTTGTTTTTTAAATTAGATTTTTCTGTAACTTTTTTTTTTTTTTTTTTTTTTTTTTTTTTTAGTTATGGCCCAGAATTAAAGATTTAGCACCATATTTCAAAAGTCAACATGCAAAACTCTGGGTTATCTGTGCCGTTGGGCATTTTTTAACTTTGAGTTGTTTTTCAACACCTTTACCATTATGTTGTTGCAACTTATAAAAGGAGGAGGATTTGAGATGGGAAACGTATTGCAGTTATCATGAGCGAAGTATGGGGTGTTGGCAAAAATTATTTTTAAAGCTCTAAACGAAATGCATAATGAATAATTGACCGATGTGTTTTAGTCCACAAAACTTGACCTTAGCATTCGTTGATATTCAAAGAAAACCAGACAAGGTGTTTGTGTATTCTCTATCAGTCAGTCCTTCTTGGGGCTGAGTGGCTGGGGAGATGGGACAGACAAACCGTAGCCTGGAGTCCACACCGTCCTAGCATCTACTGTTGATACTGGATGTGCCCACAGCACAGCTGCCTGGCTGTGCTGGCTCAGAGCATCCTGGAGGCACAACCCCTCAGCCCCTCAAGCAGCAGGGTGAGGGCTGCATGGGGTATAGTTTGGAGAAACCAGCAAGTGCCTGGTGTGCGTGGGGAGCCCTGAGCCAAAAGTGCAGAGACTCCAACAGCCCCCCAAAGGAAGCCTTTCCCTTGAAGGGCACTATCTGACATTGTCTTTCTGCCAACATGAAATTAAAATAATAATTAAAACACAGCCTGCTGACTGGTGGTGGCATCCAACACAAAAAACAGAACTGTGCTTAGAGCTCAGAAAACCGCCCCATAAAATTGCCAGCTACTGTCATGTGCTACCCCCTCCACATACACCACTCAGCTGCCTCAGGGCAATTTGAATGGCCAGTTTCCTTGGTCAGTAGAAGTCGGGGAGCATGCTTAGGGAATGAAGGGGGTCCCATTAAGGTCCCTTGCTTTGCCCTCTGCCCGCACCTGGGTGGTCAACCAGCAGTAAACTAGACCTGGGAACAGCTGGGGTGCTCTGTCCTTCCTAAATGAGGAGAAGCAGTTGTCCTTTAAGAGGTAAAATTTGGGACTTAAGGGCCATCTTGTTCTACCCATTTTGTTGAGACAGAAGCCAAGGCTGGGGCTAACAGGTGCCTTGTCCGAGGTCACGGAGCTCCCGGGACCCAGGAATGGAGCTGGAACGCAGATGTCTCCAGGGCCAGGCCACCTCTGTAGGACCCTCCTTATAA